AATAAGTAATGGGATAAGTATATGATATATAATAATAATAAGTAATAGATAATAATATAATAATAATAGATAAATAATAATAATAAAAAAATAAAAAATAATTAATAAGAAGAAGACTAATAATAAACTGATGTAACGCGCGTGAAAACCTGGGGGCGTGTATACACTTTTGAGTGGTTTAAAGCGTACGCGTAGTGTTCAGCACTTGGTTATCGCTACGACATTAAGCGCCATGGCCGTTGAACGCATTTTTAACGCATCTGGTGGCGGGTGGAAGCAAGTAAGATTGGCAATCTGAGTGGTAGGTGAGAAATTGTAAAGTGCATGTGGGTTGCTTTGGAGCGAGCGTATAGACCACGCCTCATGCGTCGTGGTTTTACGGAGAACCGTCCGGTTTTCGCATATTTTATTTGGCATGTCTCAGTCGGTAAAACTTAAAGCCGGCTACTCTTTTTTGCGCAATAGCGCAAAAAGCAGGAGGCATCGTTAGATAGAACAGGATCAGCTAAATAGGGCAGCTGAGTTTAAGCAGCCCATCGCAAGAGCTTCTGTACAGCCGTTAAATTGCAATAGTGCATTTGAAAAAAGAAAGCGTGCGTATGCTGGCACTAAATCACCGTGGTTGGCAAAAGGCAGAGGTCGGAGCCTACGAGTCGCCAGGGGGGACCTTGTGCTACTCAGAGGGAGGTGAGGGTGAGGGGAGAGTCGTGCGTGTGGGTTGGTAAAGGTACGGTGACGCGGAATGTGCGCCTGGGACGACGACATGGAGGTTAACTTGGGCGCAGGGGGTAGCCGAGGGGGTAGAAGGAAGAGGATTCGATAATACGACCAGGGTCAGTGTGTCGAGATTGGCACTTTAGGACGTCTAGGGTAGTGGGTACGGCGTAGAAGGGTTGACGTTGCGTAGGGAGACGGTTTTGTGCTACGAAGATCAATATTGAGTTACCGTTGTAGCAAGGTTGCCGGGTGCAAGAGTGGGGGGAAGGATGGAGGGGAGGGTAGGGATTATGTGGTTGCTGTGATTTAGACGACAGACACCACGAGCTCAGGTTCCGAGGAATTTGCGCGAGGATACGAGATTGAATACAGTGAGAGAGGCAGGTGACAATGGCTAGCAGTTGAGCATACGGCAAAAGGTAAGGCGGTGCGGTAGGGGGAGGTAATTTAGGGTTGACAACAAAATTTAAGAGTTACCTTTTAGACAGAGTTTGCCGGTGGGCCCTGAAGGTTAGTGGACAATTACAGGCACGCGAGTGAGGAGTACACTGATTACGACATCAAAAGCGAGAAGGTTCGGACAACGGATACCGTGACCGAAGGGAAGCGGCAATGCGGCTATAACGAGGTTGAGGGACAAGATGTGACAGTGGTTTCAGCAAGTAAAAGGTACAGCACGATTGCAGGAGGGGGAGCTACGTGTAATGAGGACACAGTAAACGTCTAAAGGCGAGGTTTTGAAAGCAAGCGATACCATGTAGATTGTACGCAGCGGGTGCACGTTTGTGCACAAAGAGAGAGTTAATTGAGGTCGAATTGAACGAGGTGCTGGGGTTTGGAAGTGTCGAAAGCTATTGAGCTAACGTCGGGAGCTTGTAGATGAGACGCAGGAAGAGAGATACTCACTAGTTAGTTGAAGAAGGGGTCCAGTCGTTAGTGAGTTGAGATAGTAAGGGATGTCTACAGAGCAGCTATGACGAAGCAGGATTGAGGACCAAGCCCCCCAAACAGCGAGTAGGTAGACGGAGACGACTGGAAAGGAGGCAACGTCGTGCCGGCATTATTGGCATGGGCGAGCTCTGTAGGACGGACTGACAGCGTGACCACCGCCGTTGTGTCGGACGCCAGCCAGCGGTGCGGGGGCGGAGTGCAGACGAGCGTCAGAAATTAATAATAAGTAATTAACAAACTACTAAGCATAATAACGTCCCAAGAAGTACTAAAGTGTTCTCCAGGTCATTCCATTGTTAGCATTGAATTTTACGAGACAGAAAGCGGACAGATGGAAGGGTAAGCTTTATTAAGCCGTTCGATGAAGAGCTTGACAAAGAGAAGGAGAACATCACGATGAGACACACACAAAACTGAAGACATAGCACAATTGACGTGGGCAAAACTAACCGGACCAACAACGCAAGGAGGAATGTATTGTACATGGTATGAAAAATTTGGACAAGACTAAAATCACAAAAGATTGAATATAAACAATTTTGAAGGGGGTGAATGAACCTGAATTAGGAGACGTGGGGGAGATCTATATTCGAGAGCTTAAACCAGAGTAGGGTATAACGTAGTCATTGCCACGTGAGAACAAAGGATAGTGTTCAGCGTAGGCAATAAGGCTTCTAGCATTCCATTGCAGAATGAGAAAAACCATTCATCTACTCAATCTGTGAATCATCATTATTGGTGCTAGCATTTCATGTATCATTTCAACGGTTATATCCTTTATCCCCAAAAATTCACCTGCTGCCTCCACTATTGTTTTCAGTCTTGACCTCTTTTTTGTCTGTTGTAAAGCAACATTCACCACTTTTCCAATAAAGGCCACAAACTTGTACTTATTAACAATCAATGCATCCTCTCCTATCACACACTTATGTGAACACTTTGTGGAGCTTTCCTTTGCCTGTGGGAGTTTGGGAAAATCTTTTTGAAGAGAACATACTTGATGCTACTTGGGATTTCCAAGCTATGTTTAGTGAAACCTTTTCTGTTGCTTCAGCATATGAGACTTTATTTTGCACTTTGTATCTCTGCACCTCCTTGGCCTTTTTCTGCACTTCGCAGCCCTGATACGCAGCACTCTGTTCCCCACCACAGTTACAACATTTCACCTTAGCACCTGCAGTACAACTACCATATTCATGTTCCCCCGCACATGTTGGACACCTGGTCTTAGTTGCTTTGCACTTGTCTGCCACATGCCCAAACCTTTGGCACTTAAAGCACCGCAGAGGTTTAGGGATGAATTCTCTTACTGGAAAGCTCATGCAACCGATCATTATCTTCTGTTGTATTGTTTCTTCAAACTGAAGAAGAACAGACAAACTATCCACTATCTTACCTTGATACCTAGTAGGAAGACGCTTAACTACAGACACTTTTCCCCCTTTAATTTCTTTCTTGAGTTCTTCTATGCCGATTTCTATGGGAACTCCACTGATAACTCCAAGTATTTTCCGATTTGCTCCAGGAACATGGCATTTAATTCAAACTTAATTCAGGGTCTTCATTTTCAGTAACTTTTCCTGTTGTTTTGCATTCATCAATCCAACCAACATCCGTCCTTTGCTCAGAAATCTTGCTTGCTTTATCGATCCAAATTCTTTGTGAATCGCTTTAGTCAAGGCCACTGGATGTAGCTTAGCTGCGGACTCTTCATTCTCAATCCTTTTCTTTACTTTCTTCAATTCACTCTGCGAATCAGATTCAAATGTAAAGTGCAAACATGAAAAATAACAATACAAAGTGGCCAGAGTAGCGAACTGTCTTCTTGCACACATCACAGTTCGCTAAATTTGAATTGCCAGTTGTGAAATTGCTCCACACAACGCTGCTCTTTCTCTCAGCCATCATGCGCGTGTGTGTGTCGCGAGTCGCTGGCTGCTGCTGTCCTGCCCTGCTGGCTGCTGTCAGTCCAACCTGATCTCACCAGAATGCGTGACTCCACCACGACTCCTTAACACCGCATTGCGTGCTGGAGTCACGAACTTTGTTACATTTACGTGTCGGCACCACGCAAACAAGTCAGTCAGCTTGATAATCAGCGTTCAGGCAGGGAGCGCGCTGCGCGTGCGCGAGCCTCCAGGAGAGGAGAACAGCAGTGGAGAGAGAAGAAAAGACTATACTTGTGTTCGTCTGCACCATAGGGTCTGCACATAGTTTTTTGAAGAAATTGACAAGTAGAGGAGACGGAAAAAAAAGATATTATAAAGAAGTATAAAAGTATCGATCCTATTGGCTCGAGAATCGATATTTTGTAACGTAACGTAATATCCGAAGTATCGATATTTTGGGATCGATCCGCCCACCCCTTGTGTAAAGAGCATGTAAAGAGAAAACTATGCTATTATCTAATAGCCACTGATGCTAGGTCACTCCGAGTAGATGCTGGTCCTACAGTACTATCAGTGAATCATTTACTACAGGCGTTGTGGATTAAGGCAAATTCCTGAAAACGTGAAAAGATCTTGGCAATAAACCTCTTTCTTATTCTGATCATTTCCTTATGGAACATGATTTCCTGCTCAAAACATTTCCATTCACACAGAATCATTTAACTTTGTTTATTTACTCAGTTACTGTAGCCTACTTACAGTAAGTACTAATTGGAGGTACTTGTACTTCACTTGAGTATTTTGACTTTATGGTACTTTTTTATTCCATTTTGGAGGCAAATGCTGTATCCTACTTGTTATGCCACTTTATTTATTTTACAGCTTTAGTAACTAGTTACTTTGCAGAGATAGAACATTATTACAAAACATGTTTGTATTAATAACACAAACATTTTTAGAATAATGCTGTCCTTTTTCTTGACTACAAATTAAAGTATTTGTACACTGTAGTAATGCTAGCCTATAAAGCTCTAGGTCCTTTTATTCCCACCTCTGATTTAAGTCTATGGCCACCACCATTCTATCTGTTTGTGAAACCTTTTGTACACATAGTTTGTGAAGTTTGTACTAACGTGTATCTTGTTCTACTAAACACCTTCGATTTAACGTGACAAAAGTCTACAAAGTATAAAGGTTTTCCCCTGTAATTCAGATTACCATACACTCCCTCACAGCCCATAGGCTCTCTATGCATTTTCTCAGTCTGTGTGGTGGCGAGATTAGGCGTCCTCGCGCTGGCCCCGCCCCTTTACGGCTGTCGCCTAGGAAACGGGGCGTGGAAAACACGCTGGTGAAGCAGGTCACCGACGTGATTGGATGCAGTGTCGGATGATGCAGTAGCGTGCCATCGTTCCATCTGTCCTGTGAGCTGCAGGGGAGACGCTCACTCCGTGTGTCAGTGAGTCTGAGCGGCTGTCTATGCTCCGGGAGTCTGGGCTGTCTCAACTATCACTCTCCAACCACCGAAGGTAAGGAAGACTCTTTACTCAATTCAAATAGCTTTATTAGCCCGACCAAACTGTATTGCCAAAGCTATGTAACATTGCGACATCTATAGCCTACATAGATATTTAAAACGAACTGTTAAATTCATAAACATTTTGAACAAATGCAAGAACGACATGTTTTCTTTACAAGGAACACAAGGAATACAAGAACAAATACATTTAGAAATAAGAAAACATAATAGAAAAAATTATGTGAGTTAGTGATTATTGTGCAGGATCATGCTGATATTCAATTCATAATACATTAATGATAAATACAAAATAATAATTAAAAGATGTAAGATGTAAACATGAGTCAGGTTAACCAGGGCTTGGAGTGTTACTTGAAAATTGTATTCCGTTAAAAGTAGTTTTTAAATCAGAAAACTAATCTAAGTATCACAATAGAATAGTAATGTAACCTGATCACTTTCAGATACTTTTGTACCTTAATATCAAATGCAATGCAATGGCTTGATATGTGACTGTTTATTAAGTAAAACATGTACTGAGTGTTTTTGTTTTGTTTTAAAGCAACTCCTGCCTTTTATTTCATTATTTTATTCAGTCTAACCATAATAGTGCACAACACATGACCACATACTATACCGTTTAAAAAAGCTGAAATAAAATCTGAACAAAAGCTACGTTTTCGATTTTAAACAGTGGATTAAGCTCATTTACACTATGTTATGAACATATAGGTTCACCTACTCAATCTGAAAAATAACAAATGAACCAAAGAAAGTGAAAACTATAAATACAATTCCGGCAGTAGTGTAGAAAATGGCCTCACTGTATGGATTTGAAGTATTTTTTTACAAACCAGGTGTCCAAAAAGAAGAAAATCAGCAAAAGCAGGCAATGTGACATTTTAGTCTAGGCCTACAATATAGTATACACTCTAAGAAGTGATGCATCAAAAATGTATGTGTAATATGGAAACCATTTTTAAACACTATCTGTGTTACACGCCTTAACACATGAACACGTAATGACTGCCCAATGCGTGTCATACATGTGAAACAATGATGAACACATTATTATGCTATTTCTGCACATTGTGCTTTAACTACTTTTAAATAATTACCAGGTGGCTATAATGTTTTCTTTCAATAGCAATCAAAAGCAGTAATACATTTGTTATCCATTTATGTATAAAGATTTAATTGGAAATGTTTTACTTTTTTAAATATCATTAATTATTTGTTTTATGGCTGCTGAATGTCATAGAGTAAACTGACTAATTTACACATTTGATGGATATGTAATAATAAGTAATAAAAGTACAGAACAACTCATAAACTGTACAACAGTTGAGTTTTCCTTTTATTTTTTAATTCTCTCCCTTAAAATAAATACAGTATATTTTTATGTAACGTTTAATTTTTCGGTAGGCTATTTATGTGAAAGTGAAAAAAATTATAAAATATAGATAATAAATGATAAAATAAATTCAAGATAGCCAATTCATAAAGCAGAATGTTCCTTTTAATTATATGTATTGTTATCTGCAGTTTACCTGGATTATCATTATTAATATCAATGCATTTACAGGAGGAGCTGCCAATTTAACTATATACCATGGATGATTTATAAATATATTTTAATGTATCATTATTATCATCACTTCTAATCATGTTTGGTTGTGGTTGTGTTTCCGATGATTACGGATCTGAGCTGCTCATCACTCCTTCCTCCTGGCTAACATGACTGTACTTGTGTTATTTGCTAGCTCTGCTGCACCATGCTGACCCGTCTGTTCCGTATGCACGGCCTCCTGGTGGCCTCCCACCCCTGGGAGGTGATCGTTGGCACAGTCACCCTCACTATCTGTATGATGTCCATGAACATGTTCACTGGCAACGACCAAATCTGTGGCTGGAACTTTGACTGCCCAAAAACAGAGGAGGTGAATCAGATGATCAAGAACATTAGTATTATTTGTATCCATCCCATAAAAACATTAAGCATTACATTAATGCACATCATGCAAACAATATATTGTTCTATTTAATATTGTAAATCCTGCACAACCTTTTCAACATGTTGCACACAGCTCCTCATTTTGAATATAGTTTTTGTAATATGTTATTATATTTTACTGTACCCAGGTTTTCTCATAATTATATGTTGTGTAATTATTTTCTTTATTTCTAATTTGTAACAATAGTCTTAAAATAGTTATTTTTAATAACTTTTATAAAAGTACTGTTTTGTGCTACATGTTTGTCTTTATGTGTCTCGTTATGCACCATTCATACCAAAGTAAATTCCTTGTATGTGTAAATCTATTCTGATTCTGAATATGTCCGTTATCTTTGGCAGTTGATCCACCACACAACGGAGAGTAGGACACCAACCTAGTTTGAATAAGCACTTGCATGACTCATGACTAATAGCTATAAATCCCACAAAACATGCAGCATTTTTCAGAATCAGAATCAGAAACAGGTTTATTACCAGGTTGACACATACGAGGAATTTGACTTGATGTCATGGTGCATAAATAAAAGTAAAACACAAATTTAAAATACAGATAGAGAACAAAAATAAAATGGATTGGATTGGATGAGGCCGGTAGCGGAGGGGAAGAAACTGTTCAGGTGGCGAGAGGTTTGGTCCTGATGGAGTGCAGCCTCCTGCCAGAGGGGAGGGGGGTTAAGTCCATAACTATAGGGATACACAATTTTTTGCCATGAAAAGACATCCAGAGAATATGTATGGTGATACTCTGATTTGTCATCAGGCACTGGTTAGCTGGCAACCTAGCATGACAACAAGCCTCTAAGAAACATCTGTTGCAGGCTATGAAATATTCTGACACATTACCTCCAAAAACATCACATCATATTGTTTTTAAGAACAGTATGAATACAACGAATTGAATGGGTTAATACGTGAGCTTTAGAGGTGCTGCTGTGTGGATTTTGTTTGGACAGAGCCTGTCAGCTAGCTGTTTCCTCCCTTTGTGCTAAACTAAGCTAACCAGCTGACGGCTCTAGTCTAAGGATATTTCCCAATATGCCCAACTATTCTTTTTAGTTCATCCCTTACTCAACCAGGCATTTGTTCCTCTCTCTTCACAGCAAATCCTCAGCAGTGACATCATCATCTTGACCATCACACGCTGCATCGCCATCGTTTATATTTACTTCCAGTTCCAGAACTTGAGACAACTGGGGTCAAAATATATTTTAGGTAAAGTATTTAAGGGTACACAAGATGTTTATAACATGGTGAATATGATAATGTGGATGTAATGACGGCAGAGGAAGAAGCTAGCTATATAAATCCAGTGGTGGAAGAAGTACTCAGAATTGTAAAAGTAGCAATACTATATTTTAAAAGTACTTTGTGACAAGTAAAGTCCTGCATTCAAAACCTTAACTAATTAAAAATACAAAAGTACTGGCATCAAAAATATACTCAAAGTACCAAAAGTACAAGTACTCCTTGTGCGTAATGGCCCATTTCAGAATCGTTCATACATGGAGTTACTGGGTTTATATTATCATTATTGATGTGTTTGATAGGGCGACTGTGGCTGTGAGGGAGTGTGGTCGTCTTTCAACCAGAAGGTTGTGGGTTCGATCCCAGCCCATGCAGTCAACATGTCGATGTATCCTTGGGCAAGATACTTAACCCTGAGTTGCTCCCGATGGCATGGCCAACGGTGTGTGAATGTGTGTGAATGTTAGGTCCTAGAGTAAGGTACACTGCTCTGTATGAATGGGTGTGAATGGGTGAATGACATGTAGTATGTAAAGCGCTTTGAGGGGTCTTAAAGACTGGATAAAGCGCTATATAAGTACAGTCCATTTACCATTTTATCCTAACGGGTAAATGTATAGCTAATTAGAATGACTTTATATACTGCTTAAAGTTCATTTAATAATTGATTTATATTTTGTATTAGCTAATAATCTAAACCTAAAAAGTAACTAGGAAAAAAGCTGTCAAATTAATTTAGAGGAGTAAAATGTAAAATGTTGGCTTTCAAACCGTAGTGGAGAAGAAAAATAAAGTAACCTAGGCTGAGATACTCAGGTCAAGTAAAAGTTCCTCAAAATGGTATTTAAGTATGGTACTCTGTTACTATCCATCACTGTATATACTATAATATGCATCTCATGTACTCTCTTGCAGGCATTGCTGGTCTTTTCACCATATTCTCCAGCTTTGTATTCAGCACAGTGGTCATTCACTTCCTGGATAAAGAGCTCACGGGCCTCAAGTAAGGAAAACTCTGCATCCTTTCATGCATCCCCAGTGTCTTTGTTAAAAGACTCAACATGACTGTTCTGTTCTGTCCTCCAGTGAGGCTTTGCCGTTCTTCCTGCTTCTCATCGACCTCTCCAAAGCATGCGCTCTCGCCAAGTTCGCCTTAAGCTCTAGTTCTCAGGTACTAAGAAATATGCACTCATCATACTCAAACCTTTCACAGACAATTCAACAGTAAACTAATTTACTGTTCTATATCAGGATGAGGTGAGGGAGAACATTGCTCGTGGCATGGCAGTACTGGGACCTACCTTCACTCTGGACGCCCTGGTGGAGTGTCTAGTGATCGGAGTGGGAACTATGTCAGGTACTCACTGCTTTCAGACTTTTTATTGTTAGTGTGAAATCAGTGTTAGGTGTGGTTACTGAAGCTGAGTGAACTCCCGCCCAGGCTGGCGGACCACTACGGGTAGTCAACAGCGATAGACAAATGATTTTTGGATCCCATATGATCCTTTGATCCATGAATTACACATAGAATTGTTTTCAATTATAGGATAATTGTGCAGTTTAGAAAGTTTGTTGTAAAACTGTACATGACTTTGAGAATGCGTAATTAGAAACACTTCACATCTGAAAGTTGCTTAAGTGATGTCAAGCATGATGCATGTGTGTCATGTAGCAGGATTTAAAGAAAAAAAGTAAAAAAATAATGAAAACAATGTGTTATGCCTCGTAATAAATAAAACAAATCTGCCAATAGAACAAGTGAACATTTGTTTGGTAAGATTTCTTGAAATAACATGGGATATTAAGATAAATCAGATCTTGTATTAGCAGGAAAATGTATTTTAAACTAAATATGGTGTGTTACAAATATAATCCAAAATCGCTCAAAAGTGGTCGTTTTTTTTTAATGTTAGTTGGTGATTTAAAAACATTTTTTTATCTGAGATACATCTCAAATTAAGATGTTTTCAAGAGTCTTTGACATAACAAGATACTTAAGATGCATTGTCTAAAAACAGTGTGGCTGTTATAAAGCTGCCAATTTGACCTCCTACATTGTACAAACTAATGCATAGCTGTAACCTTTACCTTGCGGACACAGAGCAGATTATCTCCCCGATAGCAAATGCAGAAGCCCCCACTGTATGAAGGGAGTGGTGGCTTTCTGTTTGGTCATTGGGGTGACATTGTGGCCTCTGACATGTCTCGTGTCTTCCAGGTGTGCGGCAGCTGGAAATCATGTGCTGCTTCGGCTGCATGTCGGTCCTGGCCAACTACTTTGTGTTCATGACTTTCTTCCCTGCGTGTGTCTCCCTGGTGCTGGAGGTAAGGGTGCAGTGCTGAGGTGGGAAGGAACTAAGTATTTGTACTCAAGTACTGAACTAAAGTACCATTTTGAGGTATAATTGTACTTCACTTGAGTATTTCCATGAAATGCTATTTCATACTTATACTTTACTTTGTAATTTTACTCCACTATATTTATTTAAAAAAAATGCATCTCTATAAATTAAACTAGTGGACTAAATGTTTTTAAGTCACAGTCTCTTTGAGTCCAATTATTTAAATATTTTACAAAAGTGCATCAGAACTTTATTTGTCTACAACAGTAAAATGCTACTTGATGTAACATTATTATCTAGAAATTTCACATTATACAGTATAATTATAATCATATTCACACACAATTTTTCTGCACAATGATTACTTTTACTTGTTATACTTTAGCTGATAATACTATTGTACTTTTACTTAAATAAGATTTTGAATGCAGGACTTTTACTTTTAAGTATTTTGACAGTAATGTATTGGTACTTTCACTCAAGTAAAGCGCCTGAATACTTCTTTCAGCACTGGCGCAATGTTCCAGTGTAGGTGTTTACCTGTATGTGCTTCGGTCGGTGTGACTGATGGTGTTGTGTTTGCTTTAGTTGTCCCGTGACAGTCGGGAGGGACACCCGATCTGGCAGCTGAGCCACTTCTCCAGAGTGATGGAGGAGGAGGAGGACCACAAACCCAACCCCGTCACCCAGAGGGTCAAAATGATCATGGTAGGTCAACTGAAAAAACTGAAACGTTGACTTTAATCAAATGTATTATGTCAACAGATTTCACACAACTGTATTAGGTTAGTGGAAAGCAATAATGTTTGTAGGGGCGACTGTGGCTGTGAGGGAGTGTGGTCGTCTTTCAACCAGAAGGTTGTGGGTTCGATCCCAGCCCATGCAGTCAACATGTCGATGTATCCTTGGGCAAGATACTTAACCCTGAGTTGCTCCCGATGGCATGGCCAACGGTGTGTGAATGTGTGTGAATGTTAGGTCCTAGAGTAAGGTACACTGCTCTGTATGAATGGGTGTGAATGGGTGAATGACATGTAGTATGTAAAGCGC